CTGTCAATTAAGTGCCCAATGATAACATGACCATTGCCACAAGCTCCAGAGATTTGAGTTCCATCTGACGACCATGCTAAAGAGAAGATACTTCCTGTATTTGGTTTCTCCAAAGTATATGACCACTACAAAATTAAAAGCACAAGCATTCAAACTTCAAATGTTTGTAAATAACAGAAGTATAACAAGTTAGTCGAACAGAGTTTAATTTGAATTATACTGTTAAAATATTCATTTTTTTCTATTTCTGAAATTACATTTATTTATATTTCTCTGTAAATCTGATCAATATAAGATAATTATATTTCACATAACACTTCATAAAAAGGAAGTTGAATATTTTAGAAAACTTCCAGATATTTGATTTTCAAAAATTTATTCAAATATGCAATAAAAAAAAATTACAATTCTGAAAATTACTGCATTTCTCAATAAAATTTATAATTTTATTATTTGTTTACATGTCAAATGAATGTCAAAATTTAAAATAATGATAAACCATTTGTTTGATTTCATAATTTAATATCATGACATTTTAATATATTAGATACTAGCAGTAGAGCCCGGCATTGCTCGGGGATATAACAGTAAGAGATAGATCAAGTATCCACCATCATAAAGACTGAAAAATAAAATTGACAAAGATTATTGTTTAAGGTTGACGGACACGCATGTCTTAATTAGTTTTTTATTTTTTACGAATTGGTCAAACCCAAACTCAAACAAAAACATTGTTTTCAATCGTTATGAGTCTACTGATTGAATAGAATTTTATTATAAATAATTGTCTTGTAAATGGAATTTTTAAAGCATTCTGAATGTAAAAATAAAGAAAAAAGTGTGAAAGACAATAAGAAACACTACATGCCAAAAAAAAAAAGTGAAGTTTTGTTGAAATCGGTTGAAAATGTAGGTAGCCTTTCTGTAATCTTTTTAGTTTTACAATTTATGATTTTTACTTATTGAATACAGTAATAAAAATTGCATATTTTGCTTGTGGTGATTCATTATTAGAATTCTGATTTGAATATATTTTCCACTCGTTGTTTCTAATACAAAAAATATTAACTTTTATTTGGGTTTATTAATTATGATCTAACAAATCTTATTCATTTAGTAGCCTTTCTGTAATAATAATTTTAGTTAATTTATGATTTTTACTTATTGAATACAGTAAAAAATTGGACACCATGTGTATTTAAAGTAGTTTCCCGTTCCAGTTATTATTTTTAGTTAGGACTTGTGTATGTTTAGATTTCATTATCTTTCCCTAAAGATAAAGAATTTATCTGATGTTTGTATTCGCATAATCAGTAGAGATCGTTAGATTATTGTTTAAGGTTGACGGACACGCATGTCTTAATTATTTTTTTTTTTTTTTTTTACAAATTGGTCAAACTCAAACAAAAACATTGTTTTCAATCATTATGAGTCTACCGATTGAATAGAATTTTATTATAAATAATTGTCTTTGTAAATGGAATTTTAAAGCATTCTGAATGTTAAAAAAAAAAAAAAAAGTGTGCAAGAGAATAAGAAACACTACCTGCCAAAAAAAAAAAAAAAAAAAAGTGAAGTTTTGTTTTATTGGCTGAAAATATAGGAAATCCAATTCCATATTTAAAGTAACCCACACACACAAACAAACAACCCGATGTGAGTTGTCCCCCTTCCATTTTCAATGATGTCTCCTAATTGTGTTTTCAAATTGATTTTGTGCAAAACAATTATATTTTTCCCATTTTTGGCACTGTTAGAACCACCACAAGGTAATTTTATGTAGTCCTGTGAAGTTTTGTTGAAATCGGTTGAAAAGTGTAGGAAATCCGATCCAATATATAAATGTTACAGACACACACACACAATCTGCGTTTTATAATAAGTAAGATTAAAGGTTCAAGGAGCAAACACTTCAAGATGAATCCCTATTCACATTGAAACACATTCACCAACCAACTATAGTCTCCAAAGGAAGATTACATTTCCAGAGAAGTGAAATAGAAAGTTTCCACAATTCAACTTTTATTTGGTAGAAAGTTCACATGAAATGTATACAAAAGTATTAGGCATATTAAAATTAGTTAATATATATATATACATACTAGTTATTATCAAAATACTTTCTATGACTTTATGTCCATGTTTCAAATACTTTTAAATATCTTCTTGATGGTTTTCGCTTCAGCAGAAAATTGTCAATGGAATTTTGAATATCAAAGATATATTCAATTTTTTGAGCAGATGTGTATTAACTGAAACAAATGATAAACTTATGGTACCAAATTTGGTGAATAAGCAGCACGAGAAGGAACTTCCCATCCCAATTTCATTTAGATTTTTGAGTCAATAAAGCCACATGTGGATAAGCATTGTCATGTATAACTTTTTGGCTTCCCTGTCAGGTAAATAGTCTTTTCTCATGAATTATAAGCTCCAAATTTGAAGGTAATTACTATATGTAATACACTGCAGTAAAAGTTTCAGGTTTCAGCAATTTTCAATACACCATACCTTTCATATTCCACCAAATGGAAAGTAATAATTAATTTCCAAAAAGGTTAAGTTTTGTTTGTTAATGCTGCAGGCTCTCTTGAATCCATCCATGATCTTCAACACTTCAGATTATCAGAGTGAAGCCATTTTTTCATCTCCAAAGACAATCTTCCACAAAAAAATAATTTTTTCATATAGGTGGTGAGACAATGTCCACTGCTTCAATTCGGTAATGTTTTCCTAATTTTTAATCTTCCCTATATTTTGTAAACATCTTACAACTATTGAGTCATTATCCAAAAGAGCTTACAAGTCATCACTTCCAGATTCTTGTGGTTTACTGCAGTGTGTTTTGTCCTTCAGTTGGAATTCACATTTCTTGAACTTTACAAACCAGGTTCCAGTTAAACCATCCTCATTGGTTTCAATTAACATCTTGGACACTGTTGTTTTGCCTTACATGAAAAAGAACAATATACAATCTCGTTTTTTCTTGATTGCTATAATTTTTCTTATTTTTTCCTCCCTATCTCAAAACAAAGTATAAAAGAATATTGAGTACAGGACACTCAAAACTGGTTTTCAACTATGTATTCAGTCTCTAGTTTTCAAAAAAAATGAGATACTAGGAACCCTTAACTTCTCTGGAAAAGCTCTTTATCTGGAGACTACATAAATGAACTGAACTGGGGAAAGAGATTATTGGAAACAAATTTAATATATATAACAACAAATGAAAATAAAGTGATAAAGTCCTTTTACCATAAAGAGAATACAAAACCTAATTCAATTAAAAAATTGAAATGTAAAAACTGTATGGCTTTCACTCTTCTCTACGTAAACTGCTGATGTGTTAACAGTTATTACTGAAGTTTTCTATCAAGCTTTAGATTAAAATGGCAAGGCTCAAGCTATGACTTTAGGTATCTCAGATGTGTGACAGGGTTTGGCATGCTAACCTTCTTTACCAGCTCAAGGGCTATGGTGTCTCTGGACAAATATTTGACTTGATTCAATCTTTAACATAATGTCTAATGAAAGTGACTTGAATAGCCACCCTTCTAGATCCTTTCACATTAATGACAGCTCCTTGGACCTACGTTCAATAACAACCTTCCTGATATCATCAGTTCTCAACTCTATTTATGCTGATGACACAACTATTTACTCCTGTCTTAATAGTAACTCTAATAAAGTAAAACTGGCATCTGGTCTTGAAAATGACCTTTAATAAGTTGTTAACTGGAGTAAGAAATGGCTTGTAAATTTTAATGCCTCCAAAATGAAACTGCTATTTTTTAGTCATCATAGTGAACTATTTTTGTCTTCCATCAACATAGTTGATGCTAACTATCAGAAGAGAAACTCATTGCGCCGTCTTGGTTTTTCACTGACATGAAGTGGAATGATCATATTGGATCAATTGCTAGGTCCACTTGTTAAGGAAGTTCGTTCACTGTGTCATGCCAGACAGTTTTTCTCAATAGAATTTATCTTGACTTTTCATAAATTAACCATTCATCTGTGCACTGAATATTGATGCCATATCTGATCTGGTTCTCTTGCTGAATATCTCAATACTAGCAGCATGGCCCAGTGTTGCCCATGCTTGATTCAAAAATCATACGACTCATACAGCAATCGCTATCACTTGACTTAAAATATTTTTGCCCTTCCTTGCCTTTAAAGGAGTGCCCTTTGCCATGCTGATGTTGCTACATGCCTTACTTCTTGCCTATCTCACACTGCAAATTTTTCTAAGCTCTATACTAAACATTAAATCTGTTATGAAAAAAGAACTAAACAAAATGAACACAAAACAATCAGGACTCGTAACTGGAAAAACCGAATGAAAACAGAATGTTAACAAATACTTTTTCACACCCAACCCAGTTCTGCGGAATCAGAATCAACGTTGAGTTTAAGAAAGCGAATGAGCCAATTGGAGTAAAGTGCCATGCAGATTTAAATTTTTCCCACTTGTGATGAATACAGCTATCGATTTTTTTGCATGCTAGTTAACATTTGTGTCAGTCAGCTGTTGGCTCTCACGCTGGCCAATAGAATCTTCCTGCCTATTCGTGGCAGCCAGCTATAGGCTCTCACTCTGGCCAGTACAAAATAGCCGCAAACTACATGAAAACTGCCATAGAAGCATGAAAAAATCAATTATTTCCACTATTGGTGGGACTTGGGAAATGCAAAGTTGATCTTGGCCTTCCCGCTAACTTGGAGCATGTGCATATAAATTTTGGTGCAAATCCGTCGAAAATTGCGGCCATGCATTCGTTACACACATCCTGCCTTTTATAGATAGAGATTCTCTACAAAATATAATGAAAGCTTTTGTAATATTATTGGTCCTGACCTGGCATCTCAACTTCAGTCATTTTCCTCATTGCAATGTAAAAGGTGTGGTTTTACTGTTCAAACAGCTAGATGCAACCATAAGTTTTATTATAATTAGTTTATTTTCTTGCACTTCTCGCCTGTGAAACTCTGATCTTCAAAAATTTACTGTATGTACTTGAGTATAGTACAAGTTTCTATAATCAGTTTTTTAGGCAAAAAAATTGGAAGTTCCACTATACAGAGGTAATTTTTTTTGAAGAGGTTAAAATTCATGCAAAAA